AGTATGGATTATAGTAGAAAGCTGAAACCATTCTCTCCCAATGAATCTCATATTTTGTTTTGTGTTTTGGTAAACGAGACAAACATCACATTGATCTTTCTTCAGTGTCATAAAAGAAAGGTTGTATGACTTGAAAATAGCTCTGTACTGGGAGAAGCTGATGCCTGCAAGGTTTGACTCCTTTCTTTCATATAATTCATGTGAAGTTCGGCGATATATTTTCCCCCACTGATATTCTCCTGAGAACTTTCAGATCTGCAGTAATGACTAGGAATTCTGGGAATTTTTTCTATGTGAACCTTTGCACTCTTCACGAATTCTTTATTTAACTTTCTATCCTTTTCATACTTGCCCCTCATTTTCAAACTTAGCACACCTGAGCTTTTGTCTGTTTCTTCAAAGGTTGTACGAATAGCTATGTCCGATAGGTCAAAAGTGTTTTTTAAAAATTGTTTGCATACTCTTTTCCTTTTTAAAATTCAATGTTAACCTCCGATACTTGGGAACAACTGCCTGTGTGTTATATTTTTCAGTGCCTTTGAGTTTACAGTTGTTCACATTCCACCCATTCATCATCAGAGAGTGCTTGTAGTTCAGTCAAATCAGTCTTTCTAGTTTTAGTAACATTTTCATTAGTGCTTTCTTTGTCGGTAAATAATGTTGGAAGCAACAGATCCGGCAGCTCATTAACCCAAGCTTTTACATCCATTAGCCCTATAGGATCTTCTACTGGATCTATAGTAGTCAGATCAGCATTCGTTGATGCAATAACTTGGCATCCTAAAAATATATATTTTAGATGTATAATGTTATACTTATATTATGAGTGAGTTCCTATATTAGTATTGACTACCGCAATGCTTATACAAGGGACCAACAATATTGATTTATTTGAATCAAACAACAAAACTTTAACTTACCAACATGGGTAAAACGTTGTTTTCAGTGCTTAATTGTATATCAGTCTTGCTAGTTTTAGGAACATCTTCAATACCTCTTTCTTAATTGACTCGTGTCGGAGGCAAAGAACCTCGCGCAATTACTTGCCACCGCCTTCAACTTTTTGCCTCAAGTTGTAATATCAATGTGAATCGACATATCTTCAAAGACATAAGAAAAACTATTTTATACAATTTGAACTGAATTAATGAAAAATATTTCTTTTAATCAACATTTTGCTTTATTTATTGAAAACACTTTCCCAACACCAGAACAAAAATTATGGTCTCTCGACGCGCGTTTCGCTAACCGATTTAACGTCCTCAGGAGATCATTATGACTGAGTCATAGATTAAATTTACGGCAGAGGTCCCAGTACGAACTACCAAGCTTTGCTTTATGTGGAGTGCAAACCGGATTATCTGTTAATAAGTCATATTTGCTAATAATAAAATGGACTTTTTTAAAGGTAAACTCCTGTTTCCGAACTAGATAGATGAAAACTGATGGCTGTGTCTGATGGTCAGATTTTATGACAAACTTAATGGTGAAAACGGCATATTGATATCTATCTTCGTTTCCGAGTTATAGCATATTTTTCGAAAAACATGCGCATTTTCGAAATGTTGCTGTAACTTTTTTCTTGTCAAAAATTTCTTGTTTATATGAAAATATTTACAAATCTTTTTTTTTACGTAGAATTCAATGGTGTAAAAAACTCATTTTTTCAAATGAGATATCAATAGAATGATATTAATAAAAAACTAAAGCACCATTTTTTTTCACTTAATTGTTTATAACTTTTGTAATTTTTATCGGCGCGTTTTCGGACCTTTCCTTAAACTTTCTAGGCAAAAATACGAATCGAATGACACCTTGGTCGTAATTTTTGGACAGGGCTGAAAAATGTCACAAAAAAGAGCTAAATCGAGTACATGTGAACCAGACTATCTTGTTCCTGTTGTATCCAACGCTATTTTCTTACTGGGCGCTCTATTTATATCGTTCTTAAGTGTATTCCCTATTCGTGTTCGTGTACCTTTAAGGACAGGCAGCCAGCCCGTCTGACTGAACTCGGCCTCCACTTTTTTTTTTGTGAAAAATACTCATCAAAAACACACATTTCAACGCATCACGTGATAAGAATTTCTCGAAAACTCTAGCCTCTCCCACAAAACTTCACACTGACCAATATATAACTCGAAACTCAGAGAGACTCTCATCTGTCACAAAGTCAAGTGCGTCTGGATATTACCAACCCGAAAACACAGCGAACGTAATATTGAAGTAACAACTTTACGTAGGAGTTAAGTAAAACATAATATATCATATTGACGTAAATTTTTACGTTTTAGCTAAGACATATTTTTACATAAACTATTTAGTAAATATGTGGTTAAAGTATCTTAGAAATGCAATGGAGTATTTACGTAAATGTATTACATAAACATGTTCTGTTAATTTTATGTCATATTTATGTAAATGTAAAAAAGTGTGTTTGCTGGGTTATTAATATTCATTGTATCTTCTTTTCTATTGAAATTATACCTATGCGTTTGAATCTCTTGCCTCTATATATTCTTGGTGCCTTCCAATGAGATAATGTGGGTACCTTCTTTGTTGAGAGCAAGCTCGGCCACAGCCAACTTGTCGGTTAGTCCGAGGCGACAATTTCTCTTGTGTTGTAGCTGGTGGTTCAAGTTTTTGTTCAGGTGGGTTGGTTTTCTGTACACTCGGTGGCACAGTGTACTTCCTGTTCACAAGAACATCCAAAAAGGTTAGAGTCCTTTGAGTTTCTCGTTTCATAGTGAATTGGATTTTTGGGTTGAATGAGTTGAGATGTAATAGAAAATCTGTTAGTGTGTCTTCCCCATCTCACCATATCACGAAAGTGTCGTCAACATAACGTAGCCAACAATATGGTTTTACGGCCTCTTGCCCTAAGGCCCGTTGTTCGAAATTTTCCATAAAAAAGTTTGCCACCGCCGGACTTGATGGACTGGTCATTGCAGTACCATCCGTTTGTTTGTAAAACACGCCATCCCATAGGTTGATGATAAGCAGAGGTAATAGAGATTCAAAAGCATAGTGACGATTTCAATAGATAAGAAGTGCGTTGGATACAATAGGAACAAGAACCAGAGCACCAGCTCGGTTATTGCGACCGTCAAGCAACTCTTCCTGTAAACCTTGGCGGATTAGGGCTACGTTCGGCTTCTTCCTTAGCTTCACCAGCTTTTCTGTCATCAGTCAATAATGTTTCCGATCTCATCGATTCTATCCTTCTTTCCATATTTATCAATATCAAAGACGTTTTTTATTCTGAAGGTGAATCACTTTGGCATGCTGCAACTAATATTGCTCCTCCTACAGATAAAAAGAAAATACATTGTTTAAAAATTCAAATTTCACATGGATAATTTCCTGACTTTAACATATTGTAATAATATGTTTTTTTCAATATTAAATCGTCGTTTTTCTCGTCACAGAAAAAATTGTGTTTTTTTATCTCCCTCAGCTTCGTGTAGGGAGACAACACAACCTCGAGCTAAAATCTAATACTTTTTTTCCTTGTATAATAAATAATATAACTATTTTCATACTATAAGTAAAAAAGTGTATGGAAATGTTTTCATGGAAACAAGAAATTTTTGACAGGAATGAAGTTATAGCGACTTTTCGAAAATGCACATTTTCGAAAAACATGCTGTAACTCAAACAATGATAGATATCGATATCCGGGTTCCCCATTAAGTTTGTCATGAAACTGACTCGTAAGACATAACCATCACTTTTCATCCATCTAGTGTCCAAAGTGGGCACTATTTGGTACTATTATATTTTTACATGATGGACGTCTTTCCACCTTGAAGATTTTGAAACGATTGATATATTGCGCAATAGATCTTCTTTTGAGGGCTATTCCCGCGTAAATGCAAACCGTCCAACGTCATTTGTCGGATTTTTATTCAACCGTACGATATATAAAAATGAACGGGAAAAAAAGAAATTTTTTGAAACGAACAATTCACAAACTCAATTTTTGCACCTATGCCGGTCTGATTTAACATCGGCGACTTGGAAAAGGAAAAAATGACAGGCCTGCTGATGATATTGATATGATGGAAATGTATAGAACTTATTATGAGTACATTACAGCTGCAGGACCACTTCATGTATTTATTTACAGCAATGAACAATTATTTATAATTGATTATCAAGCCACATGGTACTTGGATCAGGGTCGTAGCCATGGGGGGGCGGGGGGAGCCCCCCTGCTTTTTCGACTCGGGAAAAAGTTGGGAAATTTTGGACCGTGAAGATAGAAAAAAATAATAGTAAAAAATGATAATTATTACTGTGCTGTGATTCAATCAGCAAACATGATGCGACTTCTACCGCGGCATGGCTTTTGAAATTCAAGTCATTTTATATTGAACACGGTGAAAATGACCACCCTTTGAAAAAGTTGTGATTGATTTCGCTTTTTCTGATTCTACTTCAATGACATTGAATAATATGGAATTCAAAGATCATCTCGACCTTACTTGTGGAATTATTTCTCATCTGTTGCTTTCATATGATGAGAAAGAATCATTAATGAAGATATGAAAGCATATTTCAAGGAAGACGGTGAAATTCGTTCGACATACATTGAAGGAATAGCTTAGTATCAAATCCAAATTATTATCGATAAATAGGCAAATCTTATATTATCGCTACTTTCGACCACTTACCATGTGTTATTAAAGAAATTACCAACGATGATTTCCGAATACTTTCAGAAAAAGATTGGTTCACAAACTTTTTAGTTGATATTGTTTTAATTGACACCAATAAAGCAAACGGAAAAATATGTTAGAATTTTCCTTGCTAGTTTATAAGTTATAATAAGTTCAAACATAAAAAATCAGGTGGGAACGATGAAGTAAAGAAGAACAGAAAATTGGATATAAAATATAAAAACATTTTTTTCGCAAGAAATAATACATGATTGTTTTTATTACAACAAATTGTTCATAAGAAAAGCAGAAAATTTAAATAAAAACATTTTTTTTTAGGTATCAAAGAGCAAGATGAATTATGATTAAAAAATATTAGTATTGATTACAAGTGGTAGAAAAAAATAGTTAATTAACATATCCGTTTTTAAACAATGAAATTAATTTTTTTAGGAAATTGATTTTTAAAATCATATTTGCATTAAAGATTACGTTTGGAAAATGTCAAATAGTTCTTGAGATATTTGCAAAAAACCAAATTCAGTTGATTGTGTTCATAATTTTTGAAAATTTTGCAAACAGCACTTGAATCTATACGCTATTTCGAATCGAAAGACACCTCGTTAATATTTTTCGGAGGCGGAGAAAAATGTTTGACCTGAAAAAAATTGTTCGTTTGGGGTCTTCAGTTTGGGATCTTTCAAATAGTGTCTAGTGGCTTTTCCAGAGCGTCCAGAACGACAAATCTCAAAAGTAGAAACTTGTGCGAGCTAAGGACTAACGAGGTCTTACCTTTTAACGTGTGATTCCTGAGATGAAAACGGGGGAGCCAAACGAAATGCATTTAACCCATAAATAAATGAAGCTACCAATTTCAAATTCAATATTGCAGATGCCACCATTTCCATACCCATATTGTATGGGTATCTAACGAAAGAGTTTGACGGAGGGAATAAGATAAGCAGCGTAACGTTATTCTGTCATTCTGAATCTGAGTAGCAACATCTAGCTCCGTGAGAAGCTAGATAGTTAAAAAATTAAAGTAAAAATATTTTGTAGTAGGTATAAAGATTTATGACCAAAAATGAATAGATTGAAAAATTCAAACGAAAAACAGTCAAGGAATATTTTCAAAAACGAGCTCTCATTAAAGTTGGTGTACTGAGACGAATAAAGTGAGTTTTGCTCAGGAAAGAGTACTGATTTCAGAAAAAATTAATTATACCCACCTACTGACTGCATATTTTTATCATTGGTCATGATTTAATTTTGATTTTGTATTCAATTTGAAGTTTTGCTAAAAGTTCGTCGCGCAAATTGCTAACAAAATTTTATCAACATAAAGCGCAACAAGCTCTTAGCGAAACTATAAACACGGTACGAGTACAATATTGAGATATAATTCACTACGCTGAGCAAAACTTACTTTATTCGTTTTAGTATAATAACCTTAATACGCGTATATGAAAGCTAGTTCTGAAAAATATTCATTTTTAATATTTTTCTCAATAATTTCCATTTCGGGTGTTAAAAATTTGACTAAGCATCTTTATTTGTTCAAATTTCCTAGTTTGCTTTTCAACTCATTCAAATGTTTTGTTCCAAGCATTTTCAAAGTTCCATTAATTTTTCTTTTCTTAGATTTCAAATCTAAAACATAAAACATTTTTCAAATGATGGAAGTTTGAATCGCTAACATCAAATGCACTTATGCTCACAAATCTGTCATTGTGAAACTTCAGTGGCAATCGAAGTTATTAAATTGAATGGTTAGAAGGAAAATTGTTGTTTGAAATATTTAATCAAATAGTTTTTTCAAGTTTTTGATTTCACGTGAATATAGGTAGGTAATGTAAACATTTTCTTCCACTCCAGAACAAAATACTGTTAATCGCGTCGAAAGATAATATTTTGTTTTGATGTGGAAAAAGTGTTTTTGATAGATTCATGTTTCTACCTATCATGTTTCACTTGATGTGACAGATTTCCAATTGGAAAGTGGAAATTTATTGAATAAGATGCGTTTTCAGATGAACATGTGAGTATGAAAATTAACAAACTATTCAATGTAAAATAAACTCCATCAATCAGTAAATATTCTGATGACTCTTACAAATTTATTAGGTTAAGACAGTCAACAGTTCACTACAGGTACATACAAAATATATTTGTTCATTCGTTGAATAGGGACAGGTTGAAGAGTTTTCACAGAAAGTGCATATCTTATAAATCATAATACTTGACAGAGTCCGGAGTATGACAAACTCATTAACAAAAAATATTCAAATGAGTCCAGCAGCTGAGGTATGGTTATTTCGGATGCACTCAGAATTTTATCAAAGGGTGATTTTTTTATTGAAAAGATTATCAGAATGTCATTTCAGTTGAAGTTGTTTCTTCCAGTTGACAGTGACCAGCCGTCAATTATTAAGGTCATCCCAAGAGAATTACGAGATCTCAAACTATTCCTAATTCGAAATCTCCCTTGAAAAATCCCATTTTACCTACTTTTAGAATTTAATTTGACCCATTTAAAATGTCAAGAATCCAAATAAGTGAATTCATGCAGTGTCATCCGAAAATATTTTATACCAAAATATGCATATAAAAGTATTATTCTAACTTTCTTTGTCCTTCTGATGGACACGAAAGTTGATATAACAGTTGTATTAATGTACGTGTTGGTCGACCTGTCATACGCCCTTTTGTCAAATAAGGATACACTTTATGTTCACTCTTGAAACCTACACCTGTGGTATCAAAGTGAATCCAGTCCACACAATCTATGAATTCATTCAAAAATGCTGCCCCGATGCAAGAAGATCCATGCCCAAGTCCTTTATTATTGACATCATGAGATCTAAATCCCGTCACTTTTTTGGTGAAAAATTTCCATAAGGGCATTCTCCAAACCCTGTCTCCAGTAATGACCCCTGCTTTGCGCACCTGAGACCACATTGTTTGAGAATTGCAAAATACACCACTTGCTGCTGAACCAAGAGCAGCTCGAACCCCTGGTGTTAAGCTGGCTACATCAATTATTAAACGAGGTTTGTACATGTTCTGTCCATAAACCAGGGCATCGGCTAATATCAATCGACCTTCATTGTCTGTATCAGTGATCATAATTGACTTTCCATTCAGACCCATGACGACATCTCCACATTTCATCGCCATTCCACTGGGCATATTCTCGCATAATGGAATAACAGCTTCTATATTAATTGGAAGACTCAACGCTGAGGCAGCACGAATGGTGGCTATAATAGCTGCTGCTCCACACATGTCAGCTCTGTAACGGTCCATACCCTCACATTTTTTTACACACAGACCTCCACTATCAAAAGTTATACCCTTTCCTATCATAAGTACAGGTTTTTGTTCTTGAGGAGCACCACAGTACGAAATTTCGACCACAACAGGTGGTTCACAAGAGCCTCGAGCAACAGTAAGAAAGGCGTTCAATTTCTTCGATTCAATCCAATCTTTATCATGCACCATTACTTTAATACCACATGGACATAACTCATTAACAGTTTCTTGTGCGAAATGGAGGGGTGTCATTTGATTTGCTGGTGTATCGGACAATCTTCTTGCTAAATTTTGAGACTCTGCTTTGAAAAGTCCCCGTTGAAAACTCTCAGCATCACAGTCGTCAAATAATTCCAAGGTGGGAATCACTTTCCAATGCTGACGTGATCTATTCTCCTGGTACCTCCACAAGGCGAGTGCACTTCCTTCGGCTGCTTGTTCCGGATGTCCCAAACCTTCAACTAAAATTCTTGTTACTCCTTCTCTTTTCAATACTTGAGCTCCCATTCCTGCTCCCTCTCTCACAGCCTCCATGCCTTCGTCTATCGCTTCCATTTCATTATATCCAAGTTTTTCTTTCCCTAGTCCCACTACAGCAATAGACCAAAATTCTTTGTCAATGTTATTGAAAATTCGGGCATGTCCTCTTCGTATATCTGTTCCAGCTCTGAAAATTAGAATTAGATCAGATTAAATAAATTTATTTTATTACAGACAGTTGAAATAACTATTTGAACATATAATAATATATTTTCATAAAGAAAAACTGGTGCTGGAGGCAGGAAAATATTGTTCAATTTGGTTAAAAAATACACGATGGGAGTATAAAACTATAGGATTTATGAAAGCTTTATTCCATAATATGAAAATACAACCCGAAAATACTATTCCAAAACTTCACTATCACTTTCAAATGGAATTAGTTTACTTCACTTTCCCTTGACATCACTGCTGTCTGTGGAATAAATCTTCTCGCTTTCAGCTACGTTCGTTATGCTTTATTCTGTGATGAAAAAAAAATAACAATTGTTCCTACCAGCCCATTTCACCATTTCACGAATAACCTACGCCTTCCAGTCTCATTCACTGTTGCTTCAAGCACATCTTAAATACGATGAATAGATTTTCATTTATGCCATTGGAACATTGCTCCTACTCTTCCATACCGCAGAATTGTTGCTTGATTTTGACGTAACGAATTCAAAGGAGCTCTTCTAGCTAGGCAACTACCGATTTGCTCCTTGGAGATTAGTGGATACTATAGAATAAGTTATCATTACAATAAATAGAAATGCTTCCACTACTTATGAGCAGCTTGATTGATATTCATGACTACCGCACTACCATGTTGCTAATCAACGTCACGGCGACAGTTGACCCGGTGGTATCTCTCCTGAACTTATGTAAGCGTTCTGTTCATGTCAAAATATCCTTCTACACCACTTCTGTAGAGTTGGTCCAGGACATTCGATATTTTCCTTGATGAATTTGGTGCACTACCGTTGCCCGATGATTATACCATTGGGATTTGTTTCCAATTAGGACGAACTAGGATGTAGGGCCAGCTCTCGAATATTTTTTATGTTTATAGACCTCGAGAATTCCCAAAAATCCATCTGCAGATGCCCTGTTTCCACAGTTATAACAACAATTCCAACGCTGCTTTCAATACACCGTCTATTGTTGAATGGCGACCCAGTCATAGCAACTTGCTGCCTTTTGATGTCCTTTACTGTTCCACAAATTCTTTAGGGGTTTGGATATATCAAGTGATTATCATTTCTGCTCCATATTCCTGCAAAGTCTATTTGAATTGTTCGTTTGGGATCATCAGTTTTGGGGACTTTCAAATAGTGTCAAGTCACTTTTTCATGGCGTCCAGAATCCTTTCGTATTCGTTTGGCAGCTTGCGGTCTTCATTTTTGTTCACCTGTTAATTATCTGGTCGTATCTTTCCCAACTCGTTTCCAACGTCTGCCACACACAGATATTGTTTTCGAATTTAGAGTCAGCATCATCTAATTAAGCATAAAATCCAAAATTATTTTTTACACGTAAAAGTACTTGAAGCCTCTGAACTACAAAAATAACTGATTTTTCAGTTTTGTTTTGGAATAATCCTCATTTTGAGGAATGACAAATGAATAATTTTGATGCAAAAATAATGTCAATTTTCGATTGGCGTACTTATACGAAAGACAATATTTTTTACTAACAGCAAAAAGAAAAAAATGCGCTGGGATTTGAAATCGTGAAACCCGTGATCATCATTTCGTACCACTTACTTGACACCACTGAGATATTTTGGTATTAAATTACAAAACGATAATTTCCATCTAAAAACCATTCCACTAGCCTTATTTATTTTGTGAATGAAAATACATCTGCTATAATAACATTAAAACCGTTTGACTGACGTCTAACAGAAAACAACAACTCCACTGGCTAATACCACGAACGGCGTTGGATTATATCCGACATGCGTCAGTGCAGGAATCTTCACAGAAAATTTCCTGCATATGCAATTGGCAATGCAACTGAAAGAGTTGACCCTCAATTTTGGAACGGGCACCCTTGCAGACCGATTTCGGGCTCATTAGCCACTCATCAGTGCAAGATAGTGGCCATCATCGACCTAAAGTCAATGATATTCCATAATTGAAAATCGAAAAGGATACCTAAAAAACATTTTGTAATATATGAAGATACAGAAATTGACGTTTTAGCCTATTCTGAGGTAAATCCAAATAATTCCATTAGATATTTATCTAGAGAAATAACTTCCACCGTGTGTTATTCAGCGAATTCTGAAAGAACATAAGATTTTTCCTTGTAAGTTAAGATAAGTTTTGTCGGTGGCTTATGAATAAATAATGCAGACAAAATCCAAACTTCTATAGAAATATTATATGAAGCGATAAGGCTAATTTTTCAAATTGTGGGATGTGTAATAGAAATAATTTTCATTATTGTAGTAGACATAATCCATTTCTAGTATTAATGTTTGGTGTGGTATATTTGGAGGCAGAATTATCGGTCCATTTTTCTACCATGGTTCTTTAAACGGACCCTGTTACATTAATTTATTAATGAAGAGTTTTTCGATGATCTTGATCTGGTCGCTCGTCAGATGATCTATTTTCAGTAGGATGGAGTACCAGCACATAATTTCACTATCGTGAAAAGAATGTTGCGAGACTGTTTTGGAAATAGATGGATTGCTACAAATGAGACTGTTTTGGAAACAGATGGATTGCTACAAATGGTCCTGTTAAGTGGCTTCCTCGTTCACGAGACATGAAACCTTTGGATTTTTATTTTTGGGGATTTCTGAAAAATGAGGTGTACAAAATAAAATATTATAATGTAGATGAACTGAAAAATTATATTGAAACATAAATTAATAGATTTGATGACCGAATTGTGTTGAAAGCAACACATAGGTCAAGAGAAGTGTCCAAATATGTGTTCAACATGAAAGCGGTGTTTTTGAATAACTACTCGATATTTTATAGCTCTTTATTCGCCAAAACAAAGACATTTTTTGTACTAGTGAGAGAAAGAAATATTTTCAAATAAGTCGCTCATCTAGGCTGCTCTGACGAGAAATGTTTGACAACGAGTTTCAAAATATCAGTTGTATTTAGCGAAATTTGGTTTAAAGTATTTTAAAATTCAGTAGAAATGAAAGCACTGTGAGCACTGAAGATAATATTGAAATTGTGTTAATTGTAGGTAAGAATGATAAAACTTATCGAGAAGCTGCATACATTTTTAATACCCAGAGAAAAATCTTTACTAGGGTACAATAAGCAAATTATTAAACGGATTTGAGGCTTCTGGAGATGTAAGTGATGAATTTGGTGGCAAACTCCAACAATGGGTAACCAATTAAGATATGGAAATTGAAATAATGTTTTCAGCATTAGGATTTCCTAAATTAATCTCTGCGAGAAAAGATAGCTTCTATGCAAAATCCTATTGACAAAGATACGGTTTCAAAAATGAAAAAAAGAATAAGTTTTCCCATACAATCTCCGATTTATTCATACTTTAAGACCATGAAGACGTTTTGAATTCTGTTTTAATATCCAAGGAATGTTAGAAGATACTCCATTGATAGGAATCTTTTTTTTTCGGATCAAATAACACTTACATCAAATGGAACAGTCTCTAGCCAGAACTGCCATTGACGGAGTGACACTGATCCAAATTTTACCAGTATACATTTGAAACAAATGTGTGGTGTAGAGTTTGGGAAATTTTCATGAATCTTTTAATGCGGTTCGTTTTTTGCTCTTTCTAGAGAACGAATAACCTTCCTCTCCTTCAACGTTCCAACAGGATGGTGTCCCATGCCACAGCCGGTAGAAGTGAAGCGATACCTTGAAAATTGTTTTAATGGAAGAGTTTTACATCGATTTTCTGAAATTTTTTGTTTTTTAAACAGAAGTCAAATACGTTGAGGGGTTAGTGCCTTGAGGAAGCTCAATTGTTCATTGGATTATTACAACAGAATGAATTATGGTATCATTAACATACGTCATTAAACGAAGAATTAAAATTTTCCTCCTCCAAAAAGAAGAGCACCAGTAACTGATATTTCCGAGTATGAGTATTCCAATATTAGACGGATTCTGATACAAAATTAATGACGGTTTGGGAATTGTGGCTTCCAAAACATCTCTTCGAAGAATTTTAAAGAAAATAGTATTCAAATGGAGTTGGACTGAAAAGAATAGAAAATGGTCATTAAAGCATTGAGGATCAAGTATTTAAAAAAAAATCAATTAATTTCGTAGCCAACAGCGACCAATTGTGTTTCTTGATGAAACATATATTTTTTTTCCATAGTGAACATACATCTTTCAAGAATTGGAAGGATGAATCGACCAAAGGGCTATTTAAAAATATTGCTAAGGGACCAAGACTTATTACTGTTCTTGCATAAGGTGACATTGGCTTTATACCTACTTGTCTGTTTTTATTGAAATCAGGCAAAACATTAAGAGAGTATCATTCAAAAATGAATTCTGAAAATTATGGTAAATGGTTAGGAGAAAAGTTAATCTCAAATTTACCTGTGAATTCGGTAGTCGTGACCGATAATGCTCCATACCATATTATTCAAATTAATCCAGCCTCCAACACAAATTTTAGGAAGGCTGACATGGTGACGTGGATACATGAAAAAAGCATTATGTTCCTTCCTAACATGCTCAAACCCGAATTATACGAGTTGATAAAGGTAAATAGAAAGCATCATATTTTAACAAATTTGATGAGGTTCTGCTTGAACACGGACATAACGTTTTGCGACTTCCACCTTACCATTCTGATTTGAATCCCATTGAACTCATTTGTGCTACTGACAAAAACAACGTTTCCCAAAAGAAAGTAACTTTCAAGTTGGAAGATGTAAGGAAACTGGCAGAGCACAAGTTTGATCAAATCACTTTCGAGGAATGGCAAAAGCGTTGCCGTCATATAGTGAATATAGTGAAATATTGGAAAAATGAAACATTCACAGACCTTCAAACAGAGATAAATCTAGTGATTATGAATTTAAATGACGATACAAGCTTAAGCAGTAGTGAAGATGAAGAACATTTTTTTTTCAGATAGTGACTGATAAAGTTTATTTTTGGATAAGAGTATCATTATACA